GGCAAAGACCTTGTCGATTCACCTCCCTTTTTTTTCTAAGTTTCCTATTTTGTGTTTTTTTATTTTTAATATAATTTTGAATCCTATTTTAAGTTGAAATTTGTAGACAACTAAACATCATCCAGGCGCTCACTTGGGTCGCCTGTCGCCTGACCTGAGGCACAAAGGCAGGCGCCTGTTCAAGGTTTGTGCGCCTTAGCCTAGGCGGGGTGCCTAGCTTGGAAAACGCCTTGCCTCTACGCCTAGGCGCACCTTTTAAAACACTGGGTCATGGTCGACCCCGAGGAAGGTGTTCAGGCCATCCACTCTCCTCCCCCGTGGGAGAATGTGTCAGAGGGTGGCAACCCTCCAGACTACATGCCGCGGTGGAGTGTTCGGCCAGAAGACGAGCTTGAGATGGAAGGCGTAACTGAGCAACTTCTTCAGGGTTTGTTGACGCCGACCATTAGGTGCGAACTCGTCGAATCTTCAAGTGGTTCTTTGGAGAGTGCGCTTGTGCTCCAGGCCGCGTCGGTAAGTCTCCTTGCTTGTTTTGGCCGGTTACTTCTGTTGTGATGACAGTTGGTTTCTTCTTGTAGAATGCTTGCTCGGTGATCGCCGTGATCGAGCGCCTTCGGACGGTGTGATGACTTTATGAGGCGGGGCAGGCTGAGGTGGAGCGTTCGAGGGCTCGGTTGGCCGAGAACGCCCAACTGAAGCGTGGCATCGAGGAGCGGAGTGAGACTGTCAGCAAGTTGAAGGACCGTGTTTCCAACTTGAAGGGAGCGTGGGAGGCGCTGAAGGAGGCCAACGAGAGGGTGGCTTGAGCAGAGGAGGTGGTTGCTAGGTTCAAGGCCTCGAAGGATTATTAGAACACGTTGGACAACTTTGCCTCGCATTCTTGGGAGCAGGGGTTCTACTGTTGCCACGACAAGATTATGCATAGGTTTCTCGACGTCGCCGAGGTCGCACAGGGTCTGGGCCCATATGTCCCTGCTACGCCTACCGAGGGCGACATTGCTGCCGTCGAGGTGCCTGAGGAGGTCGAAGACCGTCTGACCGAGGAGTGAGATGTCTGCCTGCCGTTGCTTCTGTCCTGTTCTTCCGATGTTGTCTCTTTTTTTATTTGCTGTTGATGTGTACGGCTCGGTATGCCAAGCCTTTCTATTTGTAATTATCTTTTGTAATTAATGAAAAATGCTTTTTGTTCTGAGTTGTGTGTCCCTCTTTCATTTCCTTATCTCGTCGATCTTAGTTGTAAGCCTAGGTCTTATGCTGGCCGAGGTCATGAGTAGCCGAGATCTTGACGTCCTAGTCTTCGGCTTTCGCTGGCCAAGGTGCTTCTGATCTCTCATCGCTTGGGGGATGCTCAGTGGCACCTGGTCTCGGGGAGCCTTGTGCTCTTTTTGGGCTAGACATTTTTCGGTTAGCTTTGATCTGACGGTTCATCAGCAAGGTGCACGGAGTTCGATGGTCGCCCTCTAGCCTTAGAAGGCGGGGGCGTCCTTCCTGCTTTGGGCTTTGGCCGTCATCGACCAAGTCAACTAGTTGACTGGCTATGTGCTGCCGAATCAGTGCGTGGCTATGCATTGTGGGTTTTGGCCATTATGGGTCGGCCTACTTAGTGCGCAGGCAGTGCATGTTGTGCAGCGTGCGTTGTGCAGTGTGTGGATAGTGTGTGCTGAATAGATGATTGTAGAAAATGTTGTCTTTATTGATGTAGGTTATTGATAGTACATCCTTAGATTACCGGTATTCCAACTCCTCGGAATGGGCTTTCCGTTGAGGTCTTCTAGTCTATAGGTACCAGTTCCGAGGACTTTGGTCACTCTGTACAATCCTTCCCAGTTCGGTCCGAGCTTTCCTTTTGCTGGCGTGGTATTGACTTTGCGAAGGACGAGGTCACTTGTCTTGAACTCTCTTCTTCAGACTTTGGAGTCGTAGTACTTGGCCATTTTGTGTTGCTGTGTTGTCGTCTTGAGGTATGCTCGGTTACGTGCTTCTTCCACCAGGTCGAGCTCTGCGCAGAAGTCTTCGTTGTTCTGCTCCTCATCGTAAAGCTTGGTTCAGAGAGTTGGCGAGCCTATCTCTACGGGGATCATGGCTTCGGCCCCGTATGCTAGGCTGAATGGCGTCTCTCCGGTAGCTTTCCGCGGTGTGGTCCTGTACACCCAAAGAATGCTTGGCATCTCCTCGACCCACCTTCCCTTGGCCTGGTCAAGTCTGGTCTTCAAGCCGTGCAATAGGGTTCGGTTGGTCACTTCGGTCTGCCCATTGCTCTCAAGTCGGTGAACGGTTGTAGTCTGGTGGTCGATCTTCAGGTCGGTGTAGAAGGCTTCGAACTTACGATCGGTGAATTGTGCGCCATTGTCGGTGATGAGAAATTGAGGAATGCCAAACCAACAGACAATACTTTGCCAAAAGAAATTCTGGGCATTCAGTGTGGTAATACGTGCCAAGGCTTTGGCTTCCACCCACTTGGTGAAATAGTCCATTGCAACTAGAAGGGACTTCTTTTTCTTGACCGCGGTAAGGAAAGGTCCGAGGATATCCATTCCCCACTGTGTGAAGGGCCACGGGCTTGTGATTGGCTTAAAGGGGACCTCTGGCTGACGATGAAGGTTGGAATGCCTCTGACAGCGGTTGCATTTCCTGACGAGTTGGGCTGCATCCTGCTTCATGGTCGGCCAGAAGTAGCCTTGCTGAAGTGCCTTGTGAGCCAGGGTTCGAGCGTCGGGGTGATCTTTTACCGAGCTGGACTCTACGATGGAGGCTGGTTGTTGCTGCATCCTTTTGCGTGCCTTTCTTTCGCCGGAACTCGGGCATAACTGTGTCTTTTTGCGGTCGTTGCATTCACGGAATCGGGCCGAGGAGTCCGATCTTGACAACTGCTGCCTTTCTTGGCCAGACTGCGCTTCGTCCTTGTCCGATCGGTGCTTTTTGGGGTCCTCAGAGCGAGGATCGGCCGCAGTAAGCATTGGGGCAGGAGGGGGGACGGTTTGATGAGGAGGTTGTGCTGTAGATCCCAACATCTGTATCATCGCTAGGATATGGTCGGCCTTCTATTGCATTGCCTGGAACTGGGCGGGGTCGACCGCGGTCTATAGCTGAGGCTGTTATTGAGATTCACGATGCAAGGGGCTGCGGTGGTGCGAGTGGGATCCCCGAGATGGGGATCGACCTGTAGAGCGGTCGGATGTGTTTCTTGGCATCTTTCTTGATTGCGTGGAAAGAGGGTTTGGAATGGCTTTTTGTGCGATTCCCACAGACGCCAATCTAATGCTGCTCGATCCGAGGTGTTCTGAATCGAGGTTGCAATTAGATAATCCTGCCAATTGGACGAAGCCGAGGTGGAAGGATGAAGCCGTGCAGCAAGATCTGAAACCAAGAAAAGAGTCAGAGGCTCGAGGAGTTATTCCTCGGGTAGGCACTCCGATGCTCAAGTCAGTGAGGAGAATGGGTGATCGGGCCGAGTAGTTGAGAGAGCAATGCTGGTCTGAGCAGAGTAACAGTGCGGATGCTAGAGAGTCAAAAGTCCCTCACCTTGAGCGGGGGTTACCTACTTATAGCTGAAGATCCATGTCCGATTCGGATGAGGCTTCCGGGGTTGTCGGGATGAGGATGTTCATTGAGGTCTCCGGGATAAGACCTAATCCCCGGTGGATCTGTACTCCTTATCCGTACAACGCTCTCCTATCTTGGTCGCGCTTATCCGATGACATGGTTCCGACGTGGCCAAAGTGATAAGGCAGCCACGGAGGTGACACGTGGCACCCGGGGCCAGCTCAACCATAACCCAAACAGGTCCCACATCTGTTCAGGTTCCTTTTAGGTGAGGCAAGACATTAGTTTCTTGTTTGACTTGTTTGAACAGCTTGTTAGAGATTCATAATGCGACTTGGTAGACTCTTTATCTAGATAAGGTGCAAACATATCAAGTCTTCAGTTGGGGGGGGGGTGCTCTGGGCCTGGGGCACAGAATCAAAACTGACCTTGATCTATAGGCAAGAAGGGTGATAACTTTTGCTGGTTTGTTAGTTTATTTGATGTTTTCATGACAATTATGTTGTTTTGTAGTGGTGTCCTTGCTATTTTCTCTAAATAGCAAGGCGTTTTTCATTATTAATTAAAAATTTTTATTAATTAAATAAATAACAACCCCGGAGGTTCATTAAAACTTCCATGTCATAATAATTGGTAAAATTCAGGTGGGTCATACAGATCAATCAGGGTTTCATGCCGGTACCATCTGCTCATTAATCCAAACACAATTGGATACCGGTTCCTGGGTTCCACATTGGCTACTGAGCCAGCCTGATTTTTTGTACTGTACTGAGGCCCCGTTTGGTTTGCAGGAATAGGGGTCTGGAATCAGAATTGGAATCGGATCCGATTCCAACTGTTTGGTTGGGCGGAATCGGAATCCCATTCCCATTCCTGCTGGAATGGCATTCCCCCATTTAAAGGAATGAACCAAGCGGACCCATTTAAAGGAATGACCATTCCCTGCCCCTCCATTGGGAATGAAATCTCATTCCTGCTGATTCCAATTCTCATTCCCATTCCTGTTTGAACCAAACAGACTGTGGGAATAGACCGCTCCGATTCCGATTCAGAAGGATTTCGATTTCGATTCTGATTCCGACTGTGAACCAAGCGGACCCTGAATGTTCTAATTTGGATATAGCAATCTTTTGGGTCTTGACTATAGCTGCTGATGTTACTGTTCACTTATGATCTTTGTCTATGGCCTTCACAATCCTGATCTCTTTTTTTTTTGTTTTTTTCTCCTGAGTTCATTTTTTATTATTCAGTAAAAATGAAGAGGCTTATCTATGATGTATAGAATCTAGATGGATGCATTCTGGTTCAGAAATGATTCTTTTTTGTGAATCAGCATAAATTTTTGTTCCCTTTTTTCTTCATGAAATGTTCATTATAGAAGAAAATTAGTTGCTCATTGGTTTTATTTTTAGTTTTTAGTATCTTGATCTAATCTCTAACATTTCATTCTTTTACAGCACTTGATGCAGCAACCAGGGGAAACAGATACATAAATTCATGTCTCAGGTATTTAGTCCCCAACTTAATGCTTTATTTAAAAGATTGTTTCATTCTGGAAACAAAGAATTGCAGAAGCATGGAATTCAAGGAGTCTTCATTGGTGAGATTGTAGATTTATGTCAGAATGATACCTCCATGTTCAGTTTCACGCTACATGTTCAGATAATAGGGGTAGGGTAGAAAAATAAAGAGAGATTAAAGAGTGTCTATATTACGTATTCAATTAACAGAGATACTTACCCGATAATGGAGTGTTAGCTTTGTACTCGTTACTTTAGTACTTTTAAACACCATATAGGACTCAAAAATATATATCCAGATTTAAATACCATATATATATATATTACCTAGCATTCTAGATAAAAGATCCACCATACCATATCCATATTTGGATTGCATATTGCAGACCATTCATGAAAAAGTTGTTTGATCTGTTAGTCACTCTTATGAATTGGCAGTGGAGTATTTGGTTTTTCTTGGTTCATTCAGCTCCTTCCATACATATATACATCCTCATTAACAGTATTCGTCCTCAGTGGCAAAAAAAAAAAAAAAAAAGAAAAATTCCTTTGGCTTGCAGTTTATATTGGAAAAGGATAAGAATACAAGATTTTAGGTCTTTCACATTCAACATTTTCTGATTTTTTTGGTGGGTGAGAGGGGGAGGGTTCCAATCTTTTTATTTTATAATTTAATTTTCTCTCGTGCTGCAGGTTAAATGAGGAAATGAAAGGCATTGAAAATCTAGCTGTACAGTTGTATCCTTTCATCTAAGTGCTACTATATTCTCACCTAACATTCTTCTTGCCCATTCATTCACATTCACTGATGTGAATTGCAGTACTTAAATAATAATTTAGAAATTCTTTATTTTCACTTTTCAGTGCAATATTTCGTTTTTTTTTCTTTTGCTGGCTTTATCACCACAGACCTTTGATTCCTTGACTCGTGAAGGAAAATCCTCAGGAGTAATGTAGATGCCCTGGATTCAGCAGTGAATAGGCTCATCTGATTTCCATTATTTTATGGCATTCCAGCACGTTAGAACTACTCAAAAACGTTTGATTGGTGAAACTGCCTTTGAAGATGCTACGTGCTGTTCCTAGAGAGCTTTCAAGGTTGAAGATGCCTTAAAGTCTGGCTCTTCTGCAAACAAATTCTGAAGGGTATGCCATTTCATGACCTATAATATATTGATTGCATCCAAAATCATAAAAAGAATAAACAAATAGAGTTTTCTCCAATATGGATGTTTTAGCGAGAAGATACATTGTCATCAATACCGTCATTAATGGGATGACCATTAAGGTTGATTGTCTGCTTTGACGTTGGTTTGTTTACAGAAGGTTGAATACCGGTAAGATTACAGTGTATCATTAACTTGGATGTGGTTATAAAGGAAAGTAAGAGGTTACAGTTACAGAGAATTTGACTGTTAAGAGGATGTTACTGTTACAGTGTTAAATAGATTTCATTAGTTCATTTAGCATGAAGTGCAAGCAGGTTGTTGAACCATCAGAAATTCAGAAGTGTTGTGTTGGTGGGTATCATTATCATACTTACCGGATTTAGGTCTACTATCAGATGAGATCATGCAATGATGCATCTTTATTAAGTGTGAATTCTGCACGTCCCGAGGTCAAGTCCCAATAGATTATAAGAATGTGGGGACATTTTAAATTTGGTTAGCTCTAGCGTTCTAATGAGGCCCAGCCCAAAAATATGGGACGCATGGCCCGAAAATACATTTATCGACCACCCTAAGGCCATATTAGCCCATAGGTTCTGAACTCTAGTGCAGAACTAAGGCCCCGTTTGGTTTGCAGGAATAGGGGTCTGGAATCGGAATGGGCTATTCCGAACCAAATTGGAATTCCGATTCCAACTGTTTGGTTGGGCGGAATCGGAATCTCATTCCCATTTCTACTGGAATGGCTTTCCCCATTTGAAGGAATGGCCATTCCTTGCCCCTCCCTTGGGAATGAAATCCCATTCCTGCTGATTTTAATTCTCATTTCCATTCCTGTCTAAACCAAACAGACTATGGGAATGAACCATTTCGATTCCAATTCCAGAGGATTTCGATTCTGATTTCAATTCCGATTCAGACTACGAACCAAACAGACCTTAATTTTGTCATAATCGTAAATGGATGATGAGCTAGCTATATGCTACTAAATACAGTGATGTAGCACGTCTGTGATTGGACAAAGGGAGTATCTCTAGTGGCATTTAGGTTTAGGGAGAAGGATGGTTCAGCCTAGGGTCAGAATTTTTAGGTCCAAAGTACATTTGGGGTAGATGTCAGTTTGGAATTGATGCCAATTCACGGGTGGGCATTGGTGTGTAGAATGGGGGTATTTGACATTTTGAATGTTTATAGATCTGCAGTGGAATTTAGAAATCTGCAATGGGCCTGTCCGTATTTTCCCGTTGGGTTTATACATTGATTACTAAATTCCTCCATGGATGCTGCCTCAGTCGAAGCTTCAGCAGAAAACCCGTAATCAGGATTCAGGAGCAGAGCACTTCATGCCTTTGCCTGTCACATAATTCCTTATATGGCAGTTTGGAAGGAGTACAAATACAAATATGTAGAGTGCAAAAGCTTGTTTTTTGTATGTATTTGCACGTACACATTTGTATTTATATTCTTTTCAAACTGAGCCTTAAGAACTTTCCCTCAAATTTCTGTTTCTCTTATTTTCATCCAAGCCTGAAGGAATGGCCACTCATCTGGTAAAAATGAATGGCCAACGAAGATGTTCTGATAAATGAATGGCCAACGATAGAAACTCTGGATTTGGTGTCTTAAGCCACTCATCTGGTAAAAATGATGATTGGTTCAATTGAAGTGAAGGTCAGGGAGCTAATGGAAGTCGGGATCTAACATGTATAATTCACATGGTGGAGCAAAAGGTGAATCTCATTAGCGGTATAACTTGGGTTGGGAATTTGTTATATTTTTAATGGGCCAGATGTGGTTGAAAATTTTTAAGTCAATGTATGTATGTATGTATTTGTTGTAAAAACATGTTATTACTGCATATCACATCTTCTATAACCAAGGTGGCAGCATTACCTTATAATCCCTTAAAAAAATCGACTTGAAAGCGAGTCCAGATCTCCTACAGAACTACCCTCTCATGCATGAATCTCACATATGCAAATGGAATAACGTCCTTCACTCCTCTCATCCCGTTTTTAATATATTAACATTTATATTAAATTTTAAAACAAATAAAAATAGGGATTAAGAGTTCCTTATGTTTGTCATCCACGGTGAGCCGACTATTTCACCTAGGGAGTGTCTGACCACACATATAGCGGTTATGGAAGAAAGAGTTGGCATCGAACACTTGCACCTTCTCGCCAAATGGAACATCTTCAACAACAGATTATAGCTTACGTTTAGTCAATACAAATTCAATCTCGTGATCTCCTTGGCGATATTCCCTCTGATCATGTTATGCAATAAGTCCAAATATAGCGATGCAAACAGATCGGGTTGGATTCAAATCAGGGTATATTCGAATCCGATCCGACACTATTCATGTTGGATCCAATATGATCGGATCTGATCTGATCCAACTTGTTTTCTCTAAAAATTAATAAATTATTAAAAGAAGAATAAAATATACTAATTTAAATAAAGTAAAAACAAAAAATACAAGTATTTTTTAATTATTTTCATTATATATATACATGTTTTTTATAAAAAAATAATAATATAATAAATTTATAAAAATATAATATAAAAAATATATTTATAAATAAATAAATAACATATATATGTATTATATATTTATGTTTATAAATATGCAACATATATCGAATTGGATCTTCTCAGATTGGATATGGGGGGATCCGAATCTGATCCGATCCGATCCGATAGGGTGATCCAAGTTCAGCCAAATAAGCATGATATGATCCATTTGCACCCTAGGCTCTTGGGAAGCTTCACCCCAGAAAAATCAAAGTTAAACTCATTTTGTGACAAGTCTAGTCATGACAACGTTCCATTTGTTTTGAACAACGTCGATGCATTTGCTGTAAACTTATTCTTACTAAGATAGATTGCTTCTGCATTGAAATGGCTTAGTGATTTGGGAATTTTACCAAGAATATGGTTTTGTGAAAGGTCGAAATGAAGGAAGTGATTTTGGAATATCCAAAGTATTACAGAGTCTGTTACAACAAAATCCATGTGTACAATTCTGTTGTGATTTACATCCTAGAGTCTTCTGTAATCCATTATAAATATCTAATCATAATATGATTACTGTGTGCTTCCATTAATTTTAGATGGTATTAGAGCACCTCAGGCTCTTGGTTCATTCTTTTTTTGTGTCTACAAGTAGCCGAAATCAATGGCTGCCACCGCTGCAACTGGTTGCTTGGATGTTACCTCCTACCCAACCTCTCCATTTTTCATGCATTCTTTGAATAATCTGGGTGCCGTCTTAGTTTCCTGTCCATTAAATGGAGAAAAGTACTCCACCTGGAACAGAGCAATGTGAAATGCATTGTGCGCCAAGAACAAGCTTGGTTTTGTGGATGAGACGATCAAGAGACCGAAAAAATCATTTTCTCAAGAACCGGCATGGAATAAGTGAAATTTCATGGTCATTTCTTGGATTTTCAACTCTCTATCCCATTAATTACATGAAAGTGTGGCGTATGTCGATTTTTCTCATGAGATCTAGCATGATCTGGAGGAGCGATTCTCACAAGAAAATACTCCTTAGATCTTTCAACTCAAGAGAGACTTAGCACTACTTCAAGAGAATCTCTTTGTTTCATCTTACTTCACAAAGTTCAAAGCCTTATGGGATGAATTAGCAACTTATAATTTCATCCCGACTTGCTCATATGGAGGAGCATCGAAGAAATTCGTTCTTGAATGCGAGAAAGAAAAAATATATCACTTCTTGATGGGATTGAGTGAGAATTTAAATATCGTTTGTTCTCACATCCTCAGTCTTGATCCCTTGCCCAACATTAGTCGCATTTATGCACTGGTCATGTAAGAAGAATGCCATGCGAGTCTTTCGTCTCAACGAGCACTTATTGTCGAAATAGCAACACATTACATGTGGCAGTTATATCACTGAAACCCCAAGATAAATCTACCTATCCAAAATTCAAATGTGATCAATTGCAAGCGCAATGGACACATGAAGGACTGGTGCTATGAATTTCTAGGTTATCCATCAGGTTGGACAGACAAAAGGAAATCTACATCTGGCAAATTTACAGACAAGAGTTCCTCAAAGAATATAAGTTAGATAACCAGACATTCAGACTTAGTTACTCCAGTTGTTGGTTTGAGTCTTGATTAGTATCAACAATTGATGGATCTTCTGAACTCCAATAAATGTACTACTACAGTAAATTATGCTAGTAAGGCTCATGCTTGTCAACTTTTACATCCTTCTAGTTGGATTCTATATATAGGAGCCTCAGACCATATCATTGGTGCATAGTCTGGTATAGCTCTTGATACACAATCAGTTAGTTCCTATAAACTAGTCCATCTACCTAATATCATTGTAGTGCCTGTGCGAGCTTAAGGATCTGTTAAGATTACTGATCATATTCATCTAGAGAATGCTCTTCTTGTTCCAGACTTTAATTGCAATATGGTATTTGTGAGCAAACTCACTAATCAGTCGAATTGTGTGGCTTTATTTTTCCCCACCTTCTGTGTCCTACAGGACTCGACCACCAAGAAACCAATTGGAGTGGATGAAATGAGGGATGGTCTCTACCACTTCACTGGACTACCAAACTCTACAAGTTTACATATTAGTTCAACTGATTTTAATTCTCAATTGTGGCATCATAGGTTAGGACATGCTTCCTATGATCGGTTGTCATTGATTCAAGAACTACATGTTTCCCCGTCTATAACTACTGTATGTTGCGATGCATGTAATCGTGCTAAGCTTACAAGATTACCTTTTCCCCTTAGCTATAATAAAAGCATTGCACCTTACAATATTATTCATTGTGATATTTGGGGTGGATATTGCATGCCATCTCACTTTAGGGCTTGTTATTTCCTCTCTATTGTAGATGACTACATTTGAGCCACTTGGGTCTATTTGATGGCACGTAAGTCAGATACTTTTCAATTATGTTTTGTGAAATGGTAAAGACTTAATTTCACACCACAATTCAGGCAATCAGATCTGATAATGGGATTGAGTTCTTGTCTGAACCCACTTAGACATATTTTCAGCACAATGGCATTCTTCATCAACGAACATGTGTTGATACCCCTCAACAGAATGGGGGTAGTGGAGTGAAAACACCACCATTTACTTGAAATGGCACGTGCTTTATGATTCCAAGTTGGGTTCCCAATACAATTTTGGGGTGAATGTGTGCTCATTGCCACTTTATTGATAAATTACTTGCCTACACCATAGTTGCATGGGAAATCTCCTTATAAGACGTTACATGGTAAGCCTCCTACATATATCCACTTAAGGGTATTCATTTGTTTATGTTACGGCC